GGGTTAACATGAGTAACTGGCCTTATGACATTACCCTTACACTTCTGTGTAACGTAAATTTATCTATTTTTATCCCCCAGTGGATCAGTTGGTTTGTTTTAGAGCAAAAACATATTGGACTATCTGCTGTGTCCACCACAGGGAAAAGAAACCCCGGAGTTTAGCGTTGTAAATCTGTAGACTTAGACTTACAACGCTTAATTAGCTAGTTGTAAGCATCATAAGAAATATTCTTAATATATTTGAACAAGAAGTAAATCCGTTGATCTGTAAATGTCATAACTATAATGTCCATCTAATAGATGTTTCAAATACTGACACTTGAAAAAAATGTCTGTCATCTCTTATCTTTGTTTTACATGATGTAGATTGTTTTTTTATTTTCTTTTGTTTGGCTTCGCGACAAAGTTTCAAGTCTGTCCTATTTCTAGGACAACCTGTATTTGTTTGCCCAACAAGTGAATGTCAAGATTGGAAAAAGTTGGAGCAATAATTTAGATATTTTTAACTTTAAGTAATTTTCTTTGTGATTTGCCAAGATCGAAACATGTGTATTATGTAATCTTTACAGATTTCGTATTGAAACCTAACTCCAAAGTTATCGCGAATTTGCGTAGCTGCGGCATTTCAACTCTTAATAACAACAACAAACTTAAGTTGCAGAATAATATTTATTCAAGATGTTACTATTTTTCTACCCTTTGGAAATGGCTTAATGTGAAATGTATCAGTTATGGACTCCTGTCTTTTGGTTTGATTTCAAATTCCCTTCCACGTTGAGTCAAATCTGCCTTTTTGGTTTTGTTTCGAGACGATGTTTTGAGCTTCATGCTGAGTCTCTCCTGCCTTTTGATTGAGTTTAAGACGACGTTTTCAGTTCCCACTGACTTCATACTGTCTTTTAGTTTGGTTTTGATGGAGGAAGTGGCATAAGGTTTGAAACGTTGTTCCGAAAACATCGATGAAAAATACTTTACAAGAATGATTTAATTATGAGAATATAAAGAAACGTACGTCGCGTATTCACAAAGTTTACAGATAAGCTGTAGATATGAATAATAACAACCGTGACAGCTAGTCAGTTAAATTACTTTTAAAATTAGAAACTTTATACTTGAAGTCTGGCTTTATATATGATATCACTTCCATTTCGGCTCATTAGGTGGCTACAAGGCGTATCTAAGCA